GGGCGGAATCTTTGGGTAGTGTCTTATTTCAAACCCAATCTTCCTTATGAAAATTTAACCCAGAACTTAATCTGTTAAAACTCCCTCGAAAGAAGAAGAGGCCGGGGCGCAAATTTTTGGAGCCCACAATGATATTGCACAATACTCAAATAATTTGACGCAATTAAATCTTTACATGTCTCAATAGTATTATGTATATAAAAAAAGAATCAAAATTAGCAATCAAATCCCAAATACAAAAACAGCAAGTTCATAATCAACAAATTCAAGATTCCAAACAATGTGCAAAAAATTGTTTGATTTAAATAAATAGCATAGAAACAAGTCCCAATAGTCTTCACAGTGTCAGAATCAACGGAGAGCAATTCAACAATCATAAATTAATGACTCCAGCTATAGGAAATTGCCACAAAGTCACATCTCCAATAGAATCTAGAGGTGCTACAGTGCCAATATCACAACTAAGGAGAACCTAATATTTTTTCTAGTGTAAAATAAGTGGGCTTAAAAAATTTTAGGTCTGACAAATTGTTTGGTTGATAGTTGTCGGATAGATTTGTACATAATTATCATAATAACTTTTATATCCACTATCAATGGTGGACAAAATCTCATTTTCTATGATTGCTTCTAGAATAAGATGTGTTGAGCTATTTGGAAAAATGTTGTAAGTGAATTCATTAGGAAAGGGAAAAAAAAAAAGAATCCAAGCCATTAGAAGAAGGTTCATGAAATAAAATCAGATGCATTGGAAATTTCATTAATACAATAATTAATTAAAAATTTTAATTTCTAAGCATTTATTCCAATGCACAACACACATGCTTTTATATGGTTCCTACTTTTTCAAATCTAATTTCTTCAAGGCATTAGTCAGACACCTTTCAAAATTTAAATGTACTACTACTTATCACTTATGTTTGCATTCTGTATATCTCATATTCACGTCAACAATAGACTTATAATTAAAAGTTAATTTTCATTCAAATCAGGAAAAGTAATGCAGATCATGCAAATTATTGATATGATATGAGGTGAGTGATTGAAATACTAACATGCATCCTAAGGGATATTAATTAAAGATTCAAAATTAATTCCTAGAAGATGATAAGATAAATAAAATAGAACATAAACAAGCCACACAAATAGATACCCATATAGATAGAAAATCTTTATATAAAAAAAAAACTAAAATAGCCTAAATATTAGTTATGATGAATTAGGTATTTTTAGATTTGATAAAAAAATATAAATTTTTAAATTTCAAATCCAGTTTAAGGCATTCGACATTAACAAATTGTTTAGAATATTAACAAAGTTTTTAATTCTCCACAGATATATTTTATGAATTTGTTGGTCAAGAAATTATGAACCAAAAATAAAGTTAATCTAAATTTAATTTTTATAGAGGCAATTTTATTAAACACTTCATCAACAATTAAATCATCACATTCTTCAATGAATTCATCATTTTTAGCCGACGTGACTAATTGAAATTCATATTTGAAAAGGATTCAATTTCTTCTAAAAGCTCATGTTCATATTCAAGAATAAATTTAGTTTCTATTAGAGTTTTAGGTTCACAGTCAAGAATATACTTAGATTCTCTAACTGCATTTTAAATTTAGACATAATATAAGGTTCAATTTTAGAGTGAATTTTATATTGAGAATTGAACTCGTAATTAAACTCAATTTTTAATTCAAATGCTGACTCTTATTCAAGCATAGAGCAAGGTTCATGAATATCGCCTAACATAGCATAGACTCAAATTCAACAATATTAGATGTAGATTCATATTGTAACAGTAAATCTTCTAAATCTCATATACCCTCAAAAGAATACAAGATGTTAGCTGATTATGAAGCATGATGTCTTAGGGTCTAAGTCTTTTAATGCAACTAAATGTTACAATTAAAATTCAGTCACTGAAATTCAAAATTCACAATTTACAACCTAAGAATTAAACAATTGATTGCTTCTTTTTGATAAAATTAAAAAATACGTAAATTCAAACAAACAATAGTTTAATGGTCATCTAAATTGAGGAAATTATGCAAGAAATTAAAAATATAAAAGCAATCAACAAAGAATCATGTTGTAATTAGGAAATCCAGTTGCAATAATTTTGATTTAATTCACGCATGCAAAAATCAATCTCAAATTTTATAGACAACAAAGAACAAGATAAAAGATTAAACAAAGAAATCCAAGCCTTATGCTACTAAAAGAAGTAGACATCTCTTGAAAACAAGCAAGCACACTTACATCATACTTGACGAATTAAACATCACCTTACTATTCAATCTTGAGAGGGAAAACATAAATTTTATTAAGCATAAAGTTCAACATTACATAAGTTGGATCAAAATTTGTTTGTGGTTGACACATGATCTTGCTAGTAAGTAACCCTGAGTTGAAAACTTACGGACCATGTGGGTTTTAATTGAGTATAGAGAGTGAGAATGTTGTCCGTTTAAGAGAGAATAATATGGAAGATAGAGAGAGAGAACTAGAAAATAAGAGATCTCAAGTCTCGCAAAAATAATTTAGAAGGATGTTGAAATCAAATTTGTCCGTAGATAATACCTAACCTTATTAACAAGTAACCTCGAGATGAAAGCTAAGGGTACAGAGTGGATTTTAAGTATGGAGAGTGAGAATACTACAAGTCTTATGAGAGAATAATATGAAACCTAGAGAGAGAGAGAACCGAAAAATAAAGATCACAAGTCTCAATATGCCAAAAAGATTTAGAAAGATCCCAAAATCCCAAATATGTCTCTTCACCCTTTATAGGGTTTGGAGGGCTACATGAAATACTAAACCTTAAAAAATAAAAAATAAACAGAATACAATAGATGATGAGACTCATTATAAATAGTCATGAATATATGTCCTAGCCAATTAACCCCCAAATGGAATTTTGTCTACAATATGACTCTGGATCTCGGAGCAAGTCCATTAAGCAAGTCTTCATAAGCGAGTGCATAGGCGAGTCCTTGGGTCTCAGTGTACAATATGATTCTATGAAGATGAATTCTCTAGATGTGATGGCTAGTCCATTTCAAGTGAGATTCGAACCTCTAAAAGCAAAGAAGATGAATCCTCTTGAGTGACAATAACAACAGGTTAAGGACTGTCTAAACGTGAGAGATTGTTACTATTGCTTTTGAGATGTGTTTGTTTTCTGTAGCTAGAATGATGAAATCACCACAAAGATGTGATGAAATGAACCATCCAGGGCAACTTGTGCAGTTGCACGAATGACATGAACTAGATCACGGTTTCCGCCAAGTTAGGCATAATCTAGGCAAGGATAAACCCAAAGAAGTTCAACACTTTCGTGAAGACCATGTAGCTCAACATTCAGTCTCCTCTACTCTTCAGTTAGTGCGATTATTCATAAGTGAGATGGCTGCTATCCACAAATGCACCCCGGCTTTTGCCGAGATTCCATATTATTTTCTCATATGATCCGTAACATTCTCACTCTGCATACTCACTTAAAACCTACTTGGTCCCCTCAACTTTTATCTCAAGGTTAATTACTAGTATGGTTGGGTGTCATCTACAAATAAATTTGAATCCAACAAGATGTCTCAAATTTTGTATTTATAAGTATCTATTTCTCAGAATGGTCATCACCAAATGCTACAAAGAAATCTTAGAAAAATTACAGCCAATAACAATCACGGGGAGAGGAATGGCAACAGCAGCATGGGTTGCAAGGATAAACATTGTTAGAAATCAAATATCTTTGCACAAATCCTGTCATCCTCTACCATAGCTGAACAACGCTTTCAATGATCCAAATGCAAGCCCAAAAGATAAGAACAAATCAAACACACAGTCTCGAACCATATTAAACCCCCACTCTTAATGAACTAAGCAGCAAATCAGATATTTGAATGAATAGTAAGCCAAACCAAATATGTGAAACAGGACCAGAAGAATCAGAATATTAGAGAACACATATCATTCTCATAAGCAATATCATCAGAGGCATGTTTACATAAATGCCTAAAACATACGTGCTATATATAATCTGCAAAATAAAATAAAAATAACGTTCAATTTGCTAATATGCTCATCTCAGCACAAAATTTATGTTTCAACTTTCCAACAAACGTATACTTGCAGATCTTCATCACATTGCATGATCGTGCCAGCTTCTCAACGATAATTAAAAAACCTACATACACTATTCAGTTAAAGCAATAAAATTTTCAGTATTTAGTTTGAAGTTCCAAAGAATCTTCAAATGTTTGGCTCTTTTATTTTTGCTCTGTTATCCATGGAAATATATTTATAAAGTTAATATCCAAATGCTACTCCTGACTATTAAGTTCGTAAAAATTTAAAAAAACGATGGCTTCATAGTTGTAATATAGATTAAAAAAGGTCTCAAATGTAAGCTTTCTATCTCCTCATTCTTTCAAGCAAGTGATTCAAGTGGACCAATGAGCATTAGCTCGATTGGTATTGCCTCCACCCCACAAACTGTGAGATTAGGGCCTTAACTCGCACCAACATTGTTTCCAAAATAAAGCATAATTCAACGGAAGGAAGAAATTAAAAGAGGAGAAACATTGCTTGATTGTTAATATGCACCTGCAATTTGATTTTCACCTTCTTTAATGTCCTTTAACTCACATACCAACATACAACAGATCCTCATAAATTTTTAGTTAGCAAGATGTACTAAAAGCATCAGGTTTTATATCAAGCCATTGAATGAGAAAAACTGAGCTTCCCAACACTTGAAACTCGGTCTTCAATCTTCAAACACAGTTTCAAAACTAGTTAAGAGATCCCTCTTAAATATACTGGAAACGAGAGAGAAGCCAAAAAAGAACATACATTTATAGAGTGAAAGGATTAAATCTCAAAGAAAAATATCTTGAACAAGCAATTACAGTAGTTAGGAATGCGACAAATTGAAATATATCAAGAAAACTTTTTTCCACCATGTAAAATATAATATTTTAGCATCATACCTGATATTCAGCTTCCACTGGGATGCAATCTAAGGAATAAGGCTGTTGAAGTCTAGCAATAATGCGATCCTGGCAAAACAGAATATATTATTTCTTAGAATGATACTTTCAAACATGCAGCAAGCCGCATTACAACAATCAAGTAGGCTGACCACATAATCCATTAATTGCTTGCAAGAGGACCACAAAGTATTTTTGCATACATCAAGTTATGTAAGCTTCATAAATTTTTTTAGTTTTTACCAAGTTGCTAAAAGAAATAGCGAAAGAATTACGTAAGGACTGTGATAAAGCTTTGTTTATTTCCTTATGAACCTTCACCGCACGTCAATATAACCATTATTGCTACAGATTCAAAAACAAAACTGGGAACTAAATGTCACTATCACAGGTTTAAGAAATGGTTTTACTTTTCCCGGTGAAAATTGATGTAATGAGGGGCATTACTCACAACCATCATCATAAAAAAGGGGCAAATAACAGTGATTACAAAGCACAGGCCAACAGGACTGAAAATATTTGACAAGATAACCCGAGTCATGCTCTAAATGCCATTCAACATGATTGCCACATAATACAACGTGCCATAAGGTTCTGTTATTTTCTTTTATTAGTTGCCATTATTCTAGTTTCGAATCCCAAGATATGGTTCTTTCCCTTTTGGGTTGGTTAAATTCACAATTTAGAGGGGATATGCAAGGCATCATATAGCAGGAAATTTAGGGCTACAAACTAATCAAACCGAGCAAAGTTGGAGGCTATTCAAGCTCTAGCCACCAAAAGAATGTATGAGCTCGGCTCAAGCCTGATTCAAGCTTTTATGACAATGTTCAAGCTTGATTCATTTAAATTCAAGCTTGCTCAAACTTAGTTTGAGCTTAGCTTGAGCTTGGTTCATTTTGGGATCAATGAGCTTCAAACAAGGAACTCATTTTGAGCCTTAAGAAGCCACCTTATTGAGTAAAGCTCATTGAACTTAAACATAATACTTTAATTTTTAAAACTTTTAAAATAAACTTTAAGAGCTTAAACTAATATTTTAGTTTTAATAATTATTAAATCAAACCTTAAAAATCACATCCTATAAAACATCCAGCCAACATGAGCTTAGTCGAGCTAAATCATCAGCATGCCCACCACTCAAGTAAGTTGCAACCTAAAACCATGGAGTTTTTTTTTTTTCATTTAAACAATACAAAGTTAAGTTTTTTTTTTTTTTGATGTGGGAGTAAACGGCTATGATAATGGAGAATTGAGCTGTGAAATTGGGCCACGAGAATTCGGTTACAGAAGTTGGGCAATAGGAATGGTAAATGGTAAAATATAAACTATTATATATTAATTTTAGATCATAAGATTATAATTATTTATTTATTTTTTAATTCTAAACTTTAAAATTTTATTAGAAACTATGTCACACTCATTTTTCTTCCTTTTATCTTCATGACCTACAAGATTCTAGCATACTCCTTTCAAAGTAAAAGTAACTCTACAAAAACACTATGGCACATTCAATGGTTTCCCATCCAGTCAATCGCCAATTTATTTTTGGTTGTCGCCTCTCTTAATCAGTAATCACATCATCAATTGGATCATGTTTGCCTTCACCCCATTAACAACTATTCAACATTAACCACTGCAACCACAACAACTTTAAAGAGTTGACCTACTTGCACAAAGATCATAGCTTTTTGTTGTTCAAGTTTACTATGATAAGAAATATTGCTTTATCAAGGCATGTTCAAATCTCTAGAATTTTCTATAACTCTTCCATACGAGGGAGTCCTACAAAACTACCTCTTTCATAGATCGGATCATTTTAATTTTACATGCCAACTTGGATGTTGAAAGTATCATTTCAAAAAAAGTGATATGATTAGGTAGAAAGGCCTGCCTCCTTCATATGACACTTGGGCAACCAACAAGGAACTAGGAGCTGCTCGTGTGCGGGGAGAAACAGAGACGAAGAGCATTTCGTCTTCATTTTATTAGCGTGAAGAGGAGCGTGGTCACAGGATTTACACAGGGATCGCAAGATTTCCGCCAGAGAGGGACGAGACAGCTCGGCCCCGTTTTGTAGAACTGTGGATTGGATTTGAGCGAGATTTTACGGTAGGCTATGTTACACCGATACACCTATTTATGAAAGTGAGCTGTATCGGATACATGTCGAACACAAATACGCGTCCGATAGGGCACCGATACATGTCGGATACGACAAAGCCATATCTAAAGGATCTAGTTCTAGTGAAGTGCAATAAGGATGAAAATCATAAGTGCTTTTCTCAGAAGAGGATATTCAACATAGTTAGAAGAGATATTTTGATGAGCTTTTCAATAAAAATTATGATAATATGATTGACTTTAGTGACCTTAGCATCCTAAATGCTAATAAAGATCTTTATTTTTATTGTTATATTAGTAAAACCGAGAATGAATAGACTTTAAATAAAATGGAGTGTAAAAAAGCAGTGGTACCTAATAATATTCTAATAGAGGAGTGAAAATGCTTAGAAGAGCAACAAATTTTTGGCTTACTAAACTTTTTAATATTATTTTAAAGACTAAAAAAATGTCAGATAAGTGGAGGAGTGTGTTGGTTCATATTTTTAAAAATAAATGTGATGTACATGAATGTGCGAATTTTAGAAGAATTAAGTTAATGTGTCATACATTAAAAACTAAAAGAGAAATTGACCATAGACTACGATGTGATACTAATGTTTCTCAAAATCAGTTTGGATTCATGCAGAGTAGGTCTACTATGAAAGCTATACATTTGTTGAGATGTTTGATGGAAAAATATCTATGTTGCACCGATATGGATACGGCGACACGGATACGACACGATACGGATACGGGACACGTTAATTTTTAAAAATATAGGATACGTGTACGGTGCGGACACGGCATTATAATTGTTAAATCATACATAAAAATTAAGAAAGCAATCAAAGCATAATATTTAAAATTAAAAAAAAAAAATGACTACAACATCATTTGTAACATTGTAGCTTATAATATCAAAATATAAGTAAGCATTAAATGTCTAGTACAATAACAAAAGCATAAACATAAATTGTCTATAACATGAAGTTTCAATTATTCAATAGAATGAATGATATGATTAGCTTCTTCACTGGTTTGTCTTTGAACCTCTATATCATATATCTTCAATAAATATCATATCTTCTAATTCAGGTTCATCAAGTGAAAGATTAGTAATTTCTAATATTCTCATATCATCAAGAGATTCAAATCCATCTCAGAAATGAGAGAACCTTGCTCGCAGCCATGGAAGCAAATATGACACTTCTTTTTTTTTGGATTTGTTTTTGTTTTTCAACGGACACGCGTATCGGATATGCGTGTCCTTTTGAAATTAAATAGTATTTTAATTGGCGGCTTGGGCGTATCCAACACGTATCGGTGGCGCATCCGTGTATCGGTGTATCGGATACAGCACGCCTTCATAAATAGGTGTATCGGTGCAACATATAAAAGTATAAATAAAGGAGGTTCTATATATGATATTCATTGATTTAGAGAAAGCATATGATAAAGTTCCAAAAGAAAAAAATGAGTTACTAATACTTATATTCAAGTCAATAAGAATATGTATACAAGAGCTATTACTTGTGTTCAAATAGAAGGTGGTTTGACCAAGTATTTTCCTATTTCAATCGGATTACATCAAGGATCAACTTTAAGCCCGTGTCTTTTTTTTTTTTTTTTTTTTGCCTTAGTCATGGATCTTCTTACTAAACATCTGCAAGAGGATGTACCTTGGTGCATGTTTTTTGCTGATGATACTCCTCATGTTGATAAGACTATAGCAAGAGTTGAAGCAAATTTGAATAAGGAGATCAACCTTAGAATCTAAAGATTTTCGTTTGAGTAAATCTAAAATTGAATATATTGAGTGTAATTTTAGCAGTAATAGATCTAGTGGGCTGATGGATTATGACTTTAGACGATCAAGTCATTAAAAAGAGTGCACGTTTAGATATATCAGGTCTATTGTTCAAAGCCATGGTGAAATATATGAGAATATTATTAGAAGAATTCAAAGTTGTATGTTTGAAGTGGAGAAATGCATTGGGCCTATTGTGTGATAGAAAAGTACGCCTCAAACTTAAGGAAATATTCTATGAGATGGTGGTAAGACCTGCAATACTTTACGGTGCAAAATATTGACCATTAAATGTGACACACAAATTAAGTGTTGAAGAGATGAGGATGCTCAGGTAGATGAGTGGCTCTACACTTAGAGACACAACATGAAGCGAGCATATATGTATGCATTGGAATTGTCATCTTAATTATTAGCATAGAAGTTGAAGTTGAGAGCATCTGACTAGCCTATGATGACTTCAAATTAAAGTCCATTTACTGCGTTACATCTAGAAGGAAGCCAAAATGCTCTTTGATTAAAATAAAACTGGAGTCAAATTTCTTTATTGGAGGGCTTGCAAGCTTAGTGAAAAAAAAAAAAGAAATATAACAACAAATATCAGTAACAACTTCTTCACTTCAATGGTCTTATTTATTCCTTAACTGCTAACTCAATACCAGCTACACCACAGTGGTCTTATTTATTCCTTCATTGCAAACTCAATGCCAACTTCACCACAACAAACTGAATATCCTAGTAGCTTTATGCAATAATGATATATGGCAAATTTATATTTCTCCACCAACTACACCAATGTAATTTCATTTGGGCCTCACAACATATGATCATGTTGAAGACAAGCTAAATAATGAAATTATCATTGGCAAAAAAGGGCGTCATCAATGCTATTATCAAAGTAAAAAGTGCTCTTGTTCTCATGCCATCAAAGTTACAATACATTATCCTAATTTTTTGTAGAAATAAAACTACTTTATCCCTTCAAAAGAGAAAGATCTTATCCCATGGAATTCATTCAGTGTTACCCATCACTCAATAATCATAACTCACAACCACAATTATAAAGCATGTTTTAGATAACATTTCCAAAATCACGCATTAATGAAAAAACACACTACTTGATTACAAGCATAGTATCCACTAGAAATGGCGAAGATTTTTTATGCATGTCAACCTTTAACAAATGAATTAAATATTGATGGCTGCAAATTGTGGAATTTGATCTACTAGTATTCCCTAATTTCAAATTTCACCAAATCTCCCATATCAAAAGATTAAAGTTCCTATCATAGCTATTACTTCTTCATGGAGTAGATCATGCCAAAACAAAAATCCATAATGGTAACTGATGTAAGAGAAAACTAAGAAAAAAACTCAATAATAATCCAAAGATTCCATATAAAGTGAGGATTAACAAACTAAAGTATGTTATCTTTCAGTAGATAAAGGTATAAAGTGATATTGTTGAGAAATAATTATTTTTTACCAGACATATACCTTATTTTGGATAACGCCTTTCAGTATCGCTGTAATTCTGGCCAAGGACTCGCACTTCTTCTCCATCTCACTCACATGTGTAAGATGTGCCACATTCTTATCATCCTAATCAATTCCAAGTAAACATGTCAAGAAGAAAAAAACCAGAAATACAATCAAGCTGCTGTACAGTTACCATGAGAAGAAAAATAGAAGCAAAATAAGCCATACTATATCACCTTTCTTCCTTGAAGTTCTACTTGCAAATTCGCAATGCTTCTCTGAACAACCGTAAGCTCTCTTAAAACCCTAATCAACTCATCACTTTTGTCACCAGAGGAGCTTGATGAAGACTTTAGCTCTTCCTGTCAAGCGCATGATATTAATAACCGTTTAACAACAGAGGAACTTAAAAAAGACATGCGCTAGCTGAAATATGAAGGTAAACAGAGTGAAGGAGTTCAATATGATAAACATATCACATACGATGGACACACTAGAGATCAACTAGAGAAATAAAATCTATTTTAACCTATTCAAACCAACAATCTTGCAGGTACAAGTCTTTAAAAAGCATAATATTTCAAATCCAAGAGCAGAGAAATAAAATGCATCCTCATAATTGTTATACTCAATTAAGTTCTAAAAAGCAGTTTTATAGGCAACACAATTAGACAGGTCTCTAATTGAATAATCATCAGCTTGGTGCAAAATAGCTCCAACTGCTTCCATAGTATTTTAGTTGCAATATTTTCGTGTAGAAACGATGCAAATACGTTCCTCCGCAAGTTTCTAATAAGAAAATTAGGAGAGCTAAGTTCAAAGCAGGATCGCCCGCCATCGTGTTTCACCGATAGCAAATACAACACAGTAATTGTTAGAAAAAGCGGCATTGATATGCAATTCCATCTTCCGAAATACCGAGTGATATACAGTGAATTCTACAAAAGAGGAGGAGGAGCGATAGGGAAACGAAAGGAAACAAATCCATGAGAACGCAAACTCAAACCTCGACAGGAGGTATAGAAAAACCTAGATCAGAAGCGATGGAAAGGGCTTCCGCCATTCCTCCAAGTCTCTTCGAGGGCTTCTTCCCGGCCCATACCGGATCTCCAGTGATCGACATTCCCAACAAGCCAACAAAGTCAATATGCGGCCGGAGGGGAGAAAGGGTGAGGCGACACGACGAGAAAGAAAGGATTAAGGAGTATTGCCCGTGCCTGCAGCTTCAGAAAAGACAAATAAGATAAACCTCAGCCGCGTACATCAAACGCCCCTCGGCCATCACCTACGGTGAAGGTTGAACAGCCGCTGATTGCCGATCTGTGCTTGATGATACAGAATAGGAAGGTCATCAAGCAGAAGAGTGCAGATCAAGAACCCCTTTGGCCTTCAAACGGCCGGCTCGGGAAAAAAATATGTAAATTTGATTTTAATAGCCACGATATACCTTTGTAGGAATATATTTAAGATTTTATTTTGGATAAAATTATACATGTTATAAAAAAAAATGAGACATAACTCTCAACATATAATTTTTGTGAATTTCTTAAAGATGGAGCTGCTCTTTAGCACATTTTCTCTCTCTCAAGATTTCAAAGCATATAAGATCATTAAGTTTATACTTTCCAAACATAATCGATTAGTAATATCATATTTTTGGTTATATGTATTTAATTGCATGCATCAATAACAGTTATAGGCTATAATAGGAAGAAAATTATAAAACTATAGGTTCAAAAATGAACAATATACAAACTTATTTTAAAAGTATCAAAGCTTATTCATGCACTGGGGCTTAGTTTGGGATAGCTTTGTTACTATTTTATAGGACGGCTTTTTATTACAAAAATTTTTAATTCAAAATTTTTTTATACTAAAAAATTCTTTTATAAAGTAACAAAAAAGTTGCTACAACTGAAGCTTAAATCTTAAACTGCATTGAACATCATATTATTGACTCAAACATTATTTGAAGATTCTTCAAAACTTGCTCGAACAAAATTCTAATAATGCTCAGATTGGTCAGAATCTTACTAGAAACCTTCTTCAAATAGGTTAGAAGTTGACTCACTTGTTTGAATATTACTCGAATACGATGGAAGCTTACTCAAATATTATTCAAATAAGTTGTAAGCTTAGCAGAGCCTTGTTCAAATTCTAATTTCTTAAAAGCTTACTTCGAACCTTTTCCAATTAGTTTAGAATCTAAGTCAAAATCTTATTCAGTTCTTCGTATGAATCTTCTTTCGAACCTTATTTGAATTGGTTAGAATTTTACTCAAAATCTTATTTGATCGTGTTAAAAGATTACCTGAACCTTCTTTGGTGGTAATGGGAGACACTCTTTTGTGAACATAGTGGTTCAAATAACTATGGGTGTTTTTACATTAACATTTGATGTGTGATCTAGAGTTTTTTGTTTGAAGGTATCGTCTTTAGAGGGTTATAATGGAGGGAAAGTCAAAATTAGTTTAGATTGGGTTAGTTTCGATTGATTTGAAACATCTTTTTAATAAATCAGTTTAAAACTATCTAATAGATGAGCAATGATGGTGGACAGTTAAGCTAGGATGTGAACTTATGATCTAAAGTAGTTTGTATAGTTTTATTGGTTTTTAAGAACTATAGGGATGCGGAGAATAAGGATTAACTAAATATCATCCTAGATATGGTCAAGCCTTCAATGAAGGGTTTAGAGTGGTTTTGAGGTTGTCAGTATTTAATGGCAATCCTTAGATGATACTAAGAGGTGTAGAAGGATGTGAGAGAAGAATTACTACTTATTCTAGAACCATATTTATCATTACTTGTAATAATTATAACTTCTCATTTCTTCATATAGGTTTTGAAAGTCCTTCACAAATGAAAAGATGCATACAAAATACATGAGGTGGGAGGTTAGTTGCATCAATAGTCATCTAAGATTTTTGATGTGGTGACTGCTCCTCGTCCAGGAACGAAGCCATCATTCCCTCCCACGATTGCTTCGTTCTCCACTCATCCATTTTCACCTTTCCGTTATTTACAGCTTTTGGCAGTGCACTTTTTCACTTTTTGCCTAGTCAGCTTTTCTCTCTTAGTTTACTTATGTTGTAGCCTGGAGAAGGCAAGTTAGTTTTTTACACAGAAATAGAACTCAAAACGAGTATTTTCTTCTCCTCCTCAATTCAGTCTTCTGCTCCCTCTTCTTCTTCTAATCTTCTCATCTGCTCTTCTTCAGAAATCTCACTTCTCTTCCTCTCTGTTTTCATTTTCTCTGTTCTGTTTATTTTGTTCCTTGCAGGTACCACACCAAATTGGTATCAGAGCTAGTCGCTGAGTCGCAATGGCGGAAGGCATCAAGAGACCAACTATGGAGGACGATCGGAGCTTAGACGCATTGTGGAATGCTCAGATGAACATCACGCGCCAAATAGAGGCGCTCACCAATGAGCTCGTGCGGTTCTCTACAGAGGTGCGAATAGAGCTTCGCTCCATACGAACCAACAGACCGTTAACCCCGGGCGCTCGATTCGCGACGCCGATTCATACCGCAGTTCACCGGCAGCCTCGCCTTCGGCGACAAATGACGGTCACACATGTCACCTCTGATTCCGAGAACGAAGCAGAGTTTCAAAATCAAGATGCGTCCGAATCAGACGAAGACGAACGACAGATGTATTATGAACCGCGACGGTACCCCATTCCTCGCCGACAGCAAGGGGAGTTTCGTATCAAGCTCGATATTCCTTTTTTTTGAAGGCCGTCTTAACATTTAGGAATATCTGGATTGGGAAAGAGCAGTGGAGGCTTTCTTTGATTACATGGAAATAGCTCCCGAAAAACAAGTTAAGTATGTTGCTTGTCGCTTGAAAGGGGGAGCTGGAGCGTGGTGGATGCAACTGTTACAATCCCGGCGAAGAGAGGGAAAGGGTGCCGTAACCAGCTAGTACCGGATGAAGCGTCTGCTCCGCGGACACTTCTTGCCAGTCGATTACGAACAAATGCTGTATGTTCAATATCAGCATTCTCGCAAGGGGGGAAAACTGTGAACGAGTATACAGAAGAGTTCTACATATTGAGTGCCCGCAACAATCTGAATGAATCCGAAAACCAGCTCGTCGCGCGGTATATAGGCGGGTTACGAGAAGCGATCCAGGAGAAGCTGTAACTTAACTCGGTTTGGACACTGTCGCAGGCGGTGAACTACGCTCTCAAAGCCGAATTACAACTCAGCCGTCACCCGAGGAATCGCACTATCAACCGATACCATAGTGAGCAGACTAGAGAAACTAGCAAACCACTGACCCACAGCGGCAACAAACCGGCGGCATCACCATTAGGTGGAGCGGGCATTCTTGGTCCTGAACCCAAAGCCGCATCCCCTCTACGGGCAAAACTTCCAGTTAAGGATGCCAATCCTTATGCTAAACCAACAACATTCAAATGTTACCGGTGTTTTCAACCGGGACACAAGTCAAATGACTGTCCGACTCGGCAACAGTTACACTTAGCAGAGGGCGAACCCGAAGATGAACAGCATTTTGGAGAAGATGTCAACGAACAAGATTTTGAAGACCTTCAAGCAGATGACGGAGAAAAACTAGTATGTATTTTGGAGAAGCTACTGCTGGCTCCACGGCAAACCAATAACACTCAGCGACATGCCATTTTCCGGACGCGATGCACAATCAACGGCAAGGTTTGTGACATGCTCATCGACAGTGGTTGCACAGAAAACATCATCGCTCGTTCGGTGGTGCAAAAGCTCCAATTGAAAATGACCAGGAATCCGCAACCGTACAAAATCAGTTGGGTGAAGAAGGGAGTGGACATACTCGTGTCTGAAATGGGCCGGGTAACATTCACAATTGGGAAAAATTATATGTGTGAAGTTCTCTGCGACGTCCTCGAAATGGATGTATGTCATATCATACTCGGGTGGCCGTGGCAATTTGACGCCGACGCTATGTATGACGGGCGCCTCAACACCTACTCGTTCGACTGGAAGGACCGTAAAATTAGACTGCTGCCGCATACCCCTGCGGATAATAGTCAGAAACTGCTGGGAAAAACAGCAATGCATATGGTGTCGGGTCCCAGCCTCATTGAATCCTGGAAGGAAGAAAACCACATGTTGGCCTTGATCGTGTCCCTGAAGAGTTCACATGACAAACTCCACCTGCTTCCTACGGTGATACAGGAATTGTTACAACAATATCAGGACGTCTGGCCGGAAGAATTACCGAACGTTCTTCCTCCCCTCCGCAGCTTGCAACATCAGATTGAATTGCATCCGGGAGCTACCCTCCTGAACCTGCCCCATTACCGGATGAGCCCGCAAGAACATGAAGAACTCCAGAGAATTGTAGAGGAGTTATTGCAGAAGAATTTGATACAGCCAAGCCTGAGCCCGTGCGCCATCCCCGCCTTATTGGTGCCGAAGAAGGATGGGAGTTGGCGGATGTGCGTCGACAGCCGGGCGATCAATAAAATCACTGTAAAATACAGATTTCCAGTGCCTCACCTCGAAGATATGCTGGACAAACTCACTGGAGCTATAGTTTTTTCGAAGCTGGATTTGAGAAGTGGTTACCATCATATTCGGGTCCGTCCCGGGGACGAGTGGAAAACAGCGTTTAAGACTCGTGATGGGTTATATGAATGGCGCGTGATGCCATTCGGCCTATGCAACGCCCCCGCCACATTTATGAGACTTATGAATGAAGTCTTGAAATCAGCTCTAGGAAGATGTTGTGTCGTCTACTTCGACGACATCCTCGTTTACAGTTCCTCCATCGAAGAGCACCTGAACAATCTTCAGACAATCTTTGACATCTTAAGGGCCAACCAGTTATATCTAAATTTTTCTAAATGTGAGTTTGCTACTACCTCTGTCCACTTCCTTGGGTTCATTGTATCCGGCAATGGCGTTCAAACGGATCCACAGAAAATCTCAGCGATTACTAGCTGGCCAACACCCAAAACCATTTCAGACGTGCGGAGCTTCATTGGTTTAGCAAATTTTTATCGCCGTTTTGTTCGGGGATTCAGCATATTGGTAGCGCCACTCACAGACTGCCTCAAGAGTAAAACATTACAGTGGAATCAGGAACAACAAACTAGCTTCGAAAACATCAAGGCGGCAATGACCACTGCTCCAGTACTAGTAATTCCTGATTTTCATAAGCCCTTCAGTGTTGATACTGATGCTTCAGCTATCGGGGTCGGTGCAGTATTATCTCAAGAAGAAAGGCCAGTCGAATTTTTCAGTGAAAAACTCAGCCCGACCAGACAGAAGTGGTCCGCCTACGAGCAAGAATTATACACTGTGGTTAGAGCTTTAAAACAGTGGGAACACTACCTAATACATCAAGACTTTGTGCTGAGCAGCGACAACCGTGCATTGCAATTTATCAACAGCCAGAAGACGATCAACCGAATGCAC